TACTGTTGTTGTTATTGTTGTTTTATAATTGTTGTTTATAATTTGTATAATTAACCTCCCTGTGGTTCGACCCCGGTCTTGCCGGGTTATTTTTTACTTCGACACTCCTGCACTTGGGAGAAGACATCAATCTTTTAGTCGTGTCAGATACTCAGAAGAATAAATAAGGATATGATCATAAAAGACAACTTAATAATTCAAAGAGCCATTGTTTTTATGTTTGTGTGTGTGTGTGTGTATTGTTTAAATTTCCTTTTTTTTATTTTATTGTATGCTTATTTTAATTATTCTAAAAATTATAAATTTCATATCTTTCTCATTCATGTCAGGAGTAGCATTTAGGTTTCTTAGTTTTCTATTGCATGAATTAAGAATGTAAAAATTACTAATGTATTTTGTTTTTAAGTAACCATGTAACTCAGGATGTAATAGCGTCATCCTTGTAATTTTATGTTTAGAATACTGGATTGTATTATTTTGTATTTGGATTTCAAATGTTTGTATGCTTTTTTTATTTTTTTAAATTATGTATGTAAAATGTGAAAGAAATTGAGTAGATAAAATGTTATATCTATGTTCTTGAATATATTGTTGAGTTGGACTTGTGATTGTGATATGATTGAAATTTTAGTGTAAGATATGTACAAGATGATAATTAATAACTTGGAATCTCCCGGTATAGTGGAGACGCTGCTGAAATATTGGTGAAAATTTTAGAAAACCTTAAATAATGGATAAAAAAATTACCCATAAATGGTAGTATAATCATGTTGTTTAATCCCGAAAATGAGAATGTTACAATTTGGTATTAGAGCCTCTAGTTGTAATTTCAGGGACTGAAGTAACGATGTGATTTTGAAAAATATATTATAGGATATTTCGTACAAGACAAGAAGTAATGATAGACTCATCTCTCGTGATAAGGAAATAGTATGACTTATTAGATGGTAAAGAAGTCAAAGGGGATTCGCTGATGGACACTGCCTCTCATTTACCTATAACCCATTTTAAGAAAGGAGAATCAGGGGGCATCAAGATGACACTGCACCCCATCGGGCAGAAGTGTTGCTATGTAGAGCAATAAATAGTCAGGAACCAAAAAACAGACCTCTATTGGCCACACCAAATCCATTTTTTGACCCTGTGTTTCCAGAGCTACTAGTTAAGGCAGTAGCAATAGGGATGGCAGTAGACACATCCAATCCGGCCTCTCAAGTAGAGAGAGTGATTACTCTAGTTTAATAGGTGAATAATATGCAAAAATGAGTTGTACAACTTATTTATGGGAAGAAGATGCTGAAGTAGTAGGAAATTGGTTGAGAAAAGTAAAAAATAATTATATATCAGATGCAATACCAAAGGAAACTCGGGTGTACCGTGTGACCTAATTGTTGACAAAGAGTACCCACTCTTTATAAGAAACTTTCAAAGAAAGGAGAGCAAGAGTATAGTTGAGCTGGAGAGATTTCTAAGAGGAATTTAAATAAAGGTATTACTCTTAGCAGCACAGAAAGAAAAAAGAACAAGAGTTCCTTGACCTAAAGTAAAGGGGGATTACATTTCTAGAATATAAGAGGAGTTTCAAGGACTTATCTATCTTTACCATCACCTATCTCCCCATCAAGCATCATCGAGTAGAACGATTCTAAGATGGACTTATATAGGAGCTGGAGATAATATTATTAGCTATGCAATTTCAATTCATTTGGGATCTAGTGCGAGCTACGTAGGGTATAGAAAGGGTGATGAATGATACTCCAAGGCCAGTTAGTAAACATAGTCACATGACAGGGTTTAAGAAAAAGGACTTTGTGCCTCCGTCAAGTCACATGACAGGGTTTAAGAAAAAGAACTTTGTGCCTCCATCAGAGAGAACTCTATATCTAAAGAAGGGTAACAGTAGTTAATCTTTTAGGTAACTCTAGAAAAAGGGGGAAGTTTTGTTTATAGAGAGCTTTCAAGAGGAGCTAGATGGGCCGATACTAGGGGTCAGACAAGGCAATGAGCTAGTACTACGGGAGGACCTGCGAAACAAAGGGGACCCACCTACTCGTTGTGTATAAGGTGTAATAAAAAACACTTTGGGAACTATTCTGCAACGTTGGGAAGATATTATATTTGTAGAGGTAAGAGAAAAAAAATAAAAGGGTTGCCAACTTGAGAAGAGATTGCTTCCACTGTAAGGATACATGTCACAAAAGGAGGGAATGTTCATATAGAACTATTGAAGGGGTATAAAAACAAGAGGCTACCACATAAAGCTAACATCAATAAGTGACAGTAGATCGACCTGTACGACTTACTAAATTGGGAGCGAATGCCAACAAAGGTCGACCCTTATTCTAAAAAAAAAGAACTTGGGGCAAGATATATCACGACTCAGGAAAATATGAGGCGATGCCAAATATTATAGGAGGTGTATTACAACTAGACCCAATACAAGTTTATACTTTAATTAATTATAAAACTAGTTACTCTTTTATGGCTTATTAAATTATGAATAATTTAAATGTTTCATCAAGTAAACTAAATATAAGAATGACATTTAATATATATTTTAGGAAAAATATAGATATTTAAAAGCAGCCGAAACTAATATTGTAGCTAAACCCTTTTGAGTAAGTTTAATATTAGTATTAATATTAAAAATATTATTATTTATATTATAATTAATAATATTATTATTACTTTTAATAAAATTAATACTATTAATATAATAATAAAATAATTTAAAAACAATATTATTAATATTAAAAAATAACTATAGATTCATGATAAAATTTAAAATAATAATAATTATTATAATCATTATTAAAAAATTAAAAAATATATTATTACTACAAAAAAATTTATAAATTATTTTTTTAAATTAAAATTTATAAAAACTTAAACTAAATAAATTATATATTATTATTAATATTATAAATATTTCTACTACGTTGACATTTGCAGCTGAACCAGCCCACAAACATTGAATCTTAGAATTTTTATTTTTATTTTTTTTTATGAAAAAAAGGATTTACCCATGAGATAACATAGACAACCAGGCTAAATTCCGCAGCCTTCAAAAACCCTAATAGCAGTTCCCCATTTCGCTCGCTCGCTCTTTCTCACTTGCCTCTCGTCGCCCCTTTCAGCTCTAGCGCTTAACGCCTGTACGCGCATCTCTCTCTCCCTTCCTCCCTCTTCACCCACACACGATATCGGTCTTTTCCTGTAAAAAACAAGAATCTTATTGTCACTCTTTAACTCTGTAATTGTTGTTTTCAGATCTGAAATCGGAGCTTCTCATTTCCTTTTTCAGCCATGGCTCTTGTAAGTTCTTCTTGGCCCACTCTGTGTGTTATGGAAATCGTGTGTGCAATTGCATGCTGACACTTGATTTGTTGTTTTGGGTTTAGATATTATATGCTGGCAAGACAAACAAAAATGCATACAAGACACTGATAGCTGCAGAATACTCTGGTGTGGATGTCAAGCTTGCTGAGAATTTCGAGATGGGTGTTACCAACAAGACTCCTGAGTTTCTCAAAATGAACCCAATTGGAAAGGTATGATTTTTGATGTTAACACAGTTGGAATTTTGAGATGTGTGTTATCAAAAAATTGTTTTTTATTTGATTTGATTTCTTTTAGATTTCTAAAGGAGATTTGTTAATGGTCTATTAGGTCCCTGTCTTGGAGACTCCTGAAGGTCCCGTCTTTGAGAGCAATGCGATTGCACGTTATGGTAAAAGAATTTATGCTTGATTCGCGATGTGTTAAGTGGTATAGATTATTATAGATGATAACTGTAATGGATTTTGTACTTGCTCTTGCAGTTACACGCCTGAAGGCTGACAATCCTCTATATGGTTCATCGTTGATTGAATATGTAAGATATTTTTGTAATGGTGAAATCTTTTTGTGAACCATGCTCAAATATCTGTTTACTTGAACCTAACGAAAGTTGCTGCTGTTTGCACCATATATGTTATGCTAATCTTTTTGATAATTTTTTGTGACCCTTAGGCCCGTATTGAGCAGTGGATAGATTTTGCGGCAACAGAGATTGATGCTGGTATTTCAAAATGGCTTTATCCTAGATTGGGATATCAACCGTATCTTCCTCCAGTAAGTTGTCTATTTTCGTGCTACATGTCTTTAGAACTCTTAAATTTTTCTTGTCCTTGATGTCTATGAAATGAATTTTTTTGGTTCATGGTATGTTAAATTTAACATTGGTTTTATATGTCTTTTGTTCGGACTTGGTTGAGTCACTCCTGATTGCCAGTTGTAAATGTTGAGTCATATAGGGCCAAGTTTTAAAAGAGAAATTCCTGTCTTATAGATACATGTCGGGCTGTATTTAAGAGAGAATGGGATGATAAGACATAATTTTTTCACACAGCTTAGCAAGTCTGTTTGCTATTAACAAATGTGGCTTTCATTCTGTAATGGGAATTGAATGCACATGCTTGCAGATTGTATTCTTGATAGGGTATAGAACGATTATAATGTTTTAATTAATTGATTCTTCAATTTTTTGTTTATTCTGTAATAAAAAGCTATATTTCATGGTTCCCTTTTATGCTAGTTCTGTTTTTTATAATATTGTTACTGGCCCATTAATGTATACATTTTATGGATGTTTCTTTATGAAGGCTGAGGAGGCTTCGATTTCTGCATTGAAGAGAGCACTGGGTGCCCTGAACCTGCATCTTACCTCAAACACCTACTTGGTTGGGCATTCTGTTACTCTTGCTGACATCATCATGACATGCAATCTTTACACAGGATTTTCATATGTCTTGACCAAGAGCTTTACCTCAGAGTTCCCTCATGTTGAGAGATACTTCTGGACCATGGTTAATCAACCAAATGTCAAGAAGGTAGTGGGTGAAGTTAAGCAGGCTGAATCAGTTGTGCCAGTTACAAAGAAACCTTCCCAGCCAAAAGAACCTGCTAAATCAAAGCCCAAGGATGAACCAAGAAAAGAAGTCAAGGAAAAAGAGCCAGCAAAGCCCAAAGCTGAACCTGCTGCAGAAGAGGAAGCACCAAAGCCGAAACCCAAAAATCCTCTTGATTTGCTGCCTCCAAGCAAGATGATATTGGATGATTGGAAGAGGCTCTACTCTAACACCAAGACTAACTTTCGTGAGGTTGCTATCAAAGGTACCTTTTCCCTTGTCTTTTCACCCTTGCCTGTTCTCTTACTTTGAGCAGTGGAATCTGCTCTTTGCAAATAGCCTTATATATATATTTCCTGAAAAAAGTATCAGGGAAGATTCAGAATGCGTTTTTTTTCTCAAAACTGAATTTTTGATTGACATAAATTTACTGTTGACTCTTGGGTGGTGCTAGTTTTTCTTCCCCCAAAAGGACTTGGTTTCTATTTTCTTTACACGTGGTAAATCTGGATTTGTTTTGTTATTGGAGTTATGGTCTGTCATCTTTAACTTCTATTGTAGGATAAAGGGAACTCTGGGTTTGTTTTATTGTTATTAATGGAGTTATTGTCTGTCATCTTTAACTTCTATTGTACGATAAAGGGAAATCTGGGTTTGTTTTATTGTTATTAATGGATTTATTGTCTGTTGTCTTTAACTTCCACTATAGGATTCTGGGAAATGTATGATCCTGAGGGATACTCCCTGTGGTTCTGTGACTACAAGTACAACGATGAGAATACCGTGTCATTTGTCACTCTGAACAAGGTCGGTGGATTTCTTCAAAGGATGGATTTGGCTCGCAAGTATGCATTTGGGAAGATGCTTGTAATCGGCTCAGAGCCTCCATTCAAGGTCAAGGGGCTGTGGCTTTTCCGTGGGCAAGAAATTCCGCAGTTTGTCATTGATGAGTGCTATGATATGGAGCTGTATGAATGGACCAAGGTTGACATCTCAGACGAAGCTCAAAAGGAGCGTGTCAGTCAGATGATCGAAGATCACGAGCCTTTTGAGGGGGATGCCCTTCTGGATGCCAAGTGCTTCAAGTGAAACAACTGTAATCCGTCAAGGCCATGTTTGTGGCCGCAACCTGTTTTTGGTAGTGAGTTTGTCTCTTGTTTCAGACATACTGAAGTCTAGACATTTAATGATTTGGACAATATAGTGTTAAAGTGTTTTTTAGCATTTTCCCTTCTCGAAGATACTTGCTTATTCGCTGCTGGCATGTTTTTGCCTCTGATTACTAGGGCACTTGTTTTAAGCTCTCGTGCTCAGTATTTGTGGTCCATTCGGCTCTATCTTCATGAGTTCTGATTGATAGGGCAAAAGGTGTTTAACTTACCGTTATATGATTTGTGTAAGATGGATAGATATATGATTTCTATGATGAATTTGATGTGCTAACGAATTTAGCAAAGTAAAAATACACATAATTTAGCATTATATATGTATATCTTGTCAACCCCTTGTTGGAATTGTGAGATTAGCACAAATTAAAATAGAAAATTCGGAAAATAAGAAACGTACAAGTTTAAGTGGGGTCAAGTTTTGATTATGAAAAGCTCAGGGCAAGAGTATAGTTATGTTCATATTGTAAGAGTATAATTGTGTTCATATTGTAATAATGATGAAGATGAAGGAAATTAATTTAGATTATATTATGTAAATTGAACATTGAATGAAAAATCATAGGATATGGATAAGTGATGGAGCTAGAATTTTTTAAATAAAAAGATAAATTATTAATAAATATTATATGTTATATATAACATATATAGAAATTAATTTGAAATATATATACTAACTTAACTCAAGTCTAGTAAAGTAAAATTAATTTAAGAATACTTTTAAAATGAAAAAACTTACATTATAATTATATTCTTTGAAATTTTATATTTTAAAACTATTTTGTAATGCTTTTATTTTTAATTTCATTAAAAGTATATTTTTCAAAATATATAGTAAATTTTCATTTGTTTATTTCTAAATCTTCCAAAGATTAGGAAAGTTCTTGACAACAATTCAATGCTAATATATGATATATAATATCTAAAATCATAGCTTAAAAGGATTATCATAAATTAATGTTGTTTTTACTGGCTTGTGTTTTTGTATAAATAGATTAAATATAAATATTAAATATTTTTTTTAATTTATTTATTATATTCTTAATATTTTTAATTGTCATGTACTTCATTTTTAATCATTAGTAAATTTATTATTATCATTTTTTATATAAAATTCATAACAAAATACTTATCATTTCATCAAAATTCATTTCAATTCATATCTATTAGTATATAATATTACATATATTAATTTAACAAACCCATAAATTATTATAAATTCTAAGATGGAAGAAAACTTTCTTAAAATATAAAACATAATAAGAGGTTACTTTCTTAACTAATTAATAACTTAAGGCCTGAAGAAAAATTTTATAGAAGAAAGAGAGTTAGGATCAATAGTGAAAAAAGAACAAAGAGCTTGGATCAATTAGTTGCTAACAAAAGAAAACCCTATAAAGCTATTGTATTAATATTTTAATATAACAAACTGTTATGCAGAGAGAGTTATATTTTTATCAGGCTTGAGTTTATGCAATCTCGACTGCTATTCGTAAAGTTTCATTTCATTTAATGGAAGTTTTTGTTTAAACAACCCTTACTGAAAGATGAACATCAAATACAGAGTAAAAATTATTAGCAAATAAAATATAAAATAGCAGCTACGAGCAAGACAAGCTGCACATCAAACCTGTACTAAAGCCTGCAAAGTTAAATTTCAATATGCTGCAAAAGTTGTACAAGGAGGAGCTGAGAAATCTCTCCAAGTAATTATTACAGGCAAGATTATTAGAGGAGAATAAGAATTATTTAATCAGATAAAAAAAATATTAGGGAGGGGGACAATTGCCCTCTCTTGCCTCCATGTGGCTCCGTCACTGGTATGAATAAAGGCTATACATATTGATACACGAGAGTTTGCATGAGTTGTATACCAAAAAAGAGTATATTTAAAACTCAGACAACATGTATGTATATACCATTTAAATACTATAGTATTAAAATAAATAATTTTAATTTCACTGAATGTGCCTTGTTTTATCTGAGTATTGTTGTGCATGGAACTAGATTCTTGGTAATATAACTAGTGCCTTGTAATTGATGGAGGACATAGTTTCTTGGTGATGAAACTAGTGCCTGATAATAAGTGGAGAAATTAATTTTTCAATAATGAGACTAGTACCTACCTAATAATAGACAAAGGAATGAGCTTTTCGGTGCTGGAACTAGACCTCAATAATGAACCTAAACACCTAAAATATAAGGAGATTATGTTCGATAGGAGACTAGAGGCATTCAGTCGATGACCATGACATGTGACTTATCATGATAGTTTGATAAAACATAAAGAAAAAATTAATAGAAAATATTCTATTAAGATCAAATGTACTATTATAATTGTTATATTGATTTAATGATTCATGAAGCAAGTATATTTATAATGTGTGATAAAGTAATTTCATGTACCTGGCAACCTCGTATAGAATTAACTAATGATATGAAATATGTGATATCACAAGTTAATTTTTTTGTATAAAAAATATTAAAAAAAATAAGATCTAAAAGTATTAGATCTTTTTATAAAGTTATAACCAAGAAACTTGGGTTTGACTGCAATGCTCGATCCAAGAATAATATTTATAATATTAATAATAACATTAAACTTGTATGATCCAAGTTTAAGTGGGTTTGACTACAACATCAAATCTAATAGCCTTAGATGTGGGTCTAACTACAAAGTTGTGTTATAAAAATATGATAATTAAATAAATTAATTAAAAAGAAAAAAACCAACATGGAAAAAAAACTAATGAAGAAAAAAATAAATAAATTGGGTTAACCCTTCAAACCAAGTTAACTTGTCAAATATTTGATTCGTGTTGTGAAAGTTTGATAATTAAATAAGAAAAAAAAATTGTTGGGTTACCCAGAATTCACTATGCTAACCTATCAAACCCAAAATTCGTGTTATGAAAGTTTGATAACTAAATAGAAATTTTTTTAACATTAACAATCTAAATTAAATGAAAAAAATTAATTAAAAAGAAAAAAAATAAAAAAAAAACTAGTAAAGAAAAAGAAAAAAAATCTAAATTAATTGGGTTAACATGTCAAACCTAAGATCCACGTCATGAAGTCTGATAATTAAATAAAAATATATTTAATATTAACAAACAAAATAAAAAATAATTAAAAAACAAAGGCACCAGCCTTTTCATCATGGACTGCACTATGCAGTCCATAGTGAAAGGCATAAAAAAAAAAGCAAAAAAAACTAAAAGTATCAATTTTTTTTATTATAAACTGTATATAATATTAAAAGATAAAATTAGAAGAAAAAAACTAATGAGAAAAAGAAAAAGAAAATCTGAATCAACTGGGTTAACCCGCCAAATCAGGTTAATCTATTAAACTTAGAATTCGTGTCATGAAAGTGTGATAACTAAATAGAAATTTTTTTTAATATTAATTAACTATATTAAAAAAAGATTAATTAAAAAGGAAAAAGCAAAGAGAAAAAAACATACAGGAAAAAAAAACTAATGAAGAAAAAGAAAAAAATTGAATCACCCGTCAAATCTGGGATCCGTGTCATAAAAGTCTAATAATTAAATAGAAAAAAATTTAATATTAAAAAAGTAAATTAAAAAACAAAAAAACAAAGAAAAAGCTAAAACTAAAAGCATCAGCTTTTTCACTATAGATTGTACTATGCAATCCATAGTTAAAAGCTTAAAAAGAAAAAAACAAGAGGAAAAAAACAAACAAAGGCATTAGCAGCGGGAACTTTTTTTTTCCTTGCATAAAAAATATCAAAAAAAGTTAAGATCTAAGAGTGTTAGGTTTTTTTATAAAGATATACCAAAAAACCTTAAGTCTAGCTACAACGTATGACTTAAGAGTAATATTTATAATATTAATAATAATATTAAACTTACATAACTCAAGTTTAAGCGAGTTTGGGTACAACATTAAATCCAAGAGCCTTGGATATGAGTTTGGCTGCAAGGTCGTGTTATAAAAGTATGATAATTAAATAAATTAATTAAAAAAAAAGAAACCAACAGGAAAAAAACAGTAATGAAGAAAAAAAAAATCTGAATTAAATGAGTTAACCTTCAAATTGGTTTAATCCTTCAAATCAGTTTAACCCATCAAATCTAGGATTCGTGTAATAAAAATTTGATAACTAAATAGAAAAAAATTAACGAATTTACCCATAATTAACTTGATTAACCGGTGAAACTATATTAACTTGTCAAACTCGAGATATATGTCATAAAAACCTGATAAATAAATAAAAAAAATTAATATTAACAAATTAAACTAAATGAAAAAAATAATTAAAAAGAAAAAAAATATTTCGAGTTAACTCATCAAACCAGGTTAACCCATTAACCTCGAGATCCTTGTCATGAAGGTCTTATAACTAGATAAAAAAGTTTAACATTAACAAACTAAATTAAATAAAAAATTTATTAAAAGAAAAAAATTGACGGGTCAACCCAGAATTAACTTGTTAACTCGTGAAATCAGTTAACTTCTTAAACCTGAGATATATGTCATGAAAGTTTGATAACTATATAGAAAAAAATATAACATTAACAAACTAAAGTTAACAAAAAAATTAATTAAAAAGAAAAAAAGTTCGAGTTAACTCATCAAACCAGGTTATTAAACCTGGGGTCTGTGTCATGAAAGTTTTATAACTAAGTTAAAAAATTTAACATTAACAAACTAAATTAAATAAAAAAATTTATTAAAAAAATTGACAGGTCAACCTAGAATTAACTAGGTTAACCCATGAAACTAGGTTAACATGTCAAACCTGAGATATGTGTCATGAAAGTCTGATAACTAAATATAAATAAATTTAATATTAATATACTAAACTAAACAAAAAAGATTAATTAAAAAGAAAAAAACAAAAAAAACCTCCGGGTTAACTCGTCAAACCATGTTAACCCGTTAAACCCGAGATTCGTGTCAATGTCAAACCTGAGATGTGCCATAAAAGTCTGATAACTAAATATAAATAAATTTAACATTAACAAACTAAAGTTATGAGAAAATTAATTAAAAAGAAAAGAAACCAAAAAAATATGGGTTGACTCGTCAAATTAGGTTAACCTATTAAACTCAGGATCCGTGTCATGAAAATTTGATAGTTAAATAAAAAATTAATATTAATAAACTAAATTAACCAAAAAAATTAAAAGAAAGAAAAAAAAACCTAAAAGGCATAAAAAACAAAAAAAAAAGTTAAAAAATTAAAAAAGTTTAAAAAAACAGTTTAAAAAAAATGAAGCATCGATATTTTATTGTGATTTATATTATATAGTCTATAATAAAACACTAATGCATTTTAGTATATTTTATAAGGAGCATATGAATAATTTTTATTTTTTTTTGTTAATTGATGAAGATGTGATCTTCATTACATGTTAATCCTTTTGTAATGAAAAGGATTGTATGTAATTAATGTAAAGAATGTAATCCTTGTACTATTCAGTTAAGGATTTACCAATTATAAACATTTATGATGCTATTTTACATTTAATGCTTTATAAAAGATAAGAAGCAGCGTGGTGGAAATTAAGAATAGCTTGATAAAATTCAAGGGTAAAGGAAATTCTAAGATAGATTTGGTAATACGGAAATCAAGAAATTAAGTATGAATTTGCCTAAGCCACAATGAACCGATCGATTGTTTGGTTAATTGAATAATAGATTTTGTTATTGTCTTAATTGGTCGATGAAACCGATCGATCAACCGAACAACCAGCAAGGAAAACATGAGATTACAGAATAAACCAGTCGACCGGAATTGGATGCGGTGTTAATTGATGGGGTTGCTCGGCCGGAAAATGTAATCAAAGACCCCTCTGTGTTAAGCTTGAAGTCCAGTCAAACATAGCAGTCTAACAAGTAACTGTGTAGCTAGAAAATTCATTTTCAAAAAGTTCCCAGTCAAACATGAACCTAAAGTCGCAACACAGCCCACTAGACAAGTAGCATATTTTAGAATTTTGCTAAATATTCAAGCTCTATGACTCGAAGAAGTAGCCAGGAATGTCCATTGCAAGACACGATCGAGCGAGCTCAGAAACACAATATCCAAAACGATCATTGGCCATTTATGGCAGATGCACAGGCACTTGTCATGTGTATAGTGTCCTGGGGTTGGAAAGCATGCCGAATGAATTTTTCCGAAGGCAACTTGAGGTCGCAACTTGGCAGCATTTTTCGTGTTGATTGAGACAGTACCAATCATGCTACGACTTTTTGTGCTCTTGCCGATATGAGTTTACTTTGAATCAACTCCAAGTGAAGTCAACCCTTGCGCATGCATATATGGTCGCAGGACCACCTTCCCACCCACCCACGAAGGTTCAAGCCTGTTTACAAATCCCGACCATAATACCTTCAGTGATATATATAATACATGCTGTGATCTCAAGAATCAGGAAACTCTACTCCTCATATTGCCCTGTTTTCTTGAATAATCTTCTTCCTTGTCAGTGTGATTCTTGGTTCGATGGGGGATGTGGGAATCACCGTAGTGGAAGAGCAGAGAGATGAATCCCAGGAGTTGCTTCAAGACCTTCCAACAGAAATAGGCATGGGAGGTAATCTTCTCTATCTATACCAAGGATTCTGGTGTCCTCAGGTATCAATCAAGGGCATGATGTTGTTTCAAAAACACTTCCAGGCACAAGAAACTGACCTCATACTTGCCAGCATTCCAAAATCAGGTACCACTTGGTTAAAGGCCTTGACTTACACTATAGTTAATCGCTCCCGTCACTCACTTGAAAAGAGCCCTTTGCTCACCAATGGCCCTCATGGGGTCGTGCCCTTTCTTGAGTTCGATATCAGCTCCAGAAACCAGTTTCAGGAACAAGACAAGCTTCCCGAGCCTAGGATTTTCGGAACCCACTCGCCTTACACGGCACTCCCGTGTTCGGTCAAAGATTCCGGTAGTAAGATTGTGTATGTGTGTCGGAATCCTCTGGACATGTTCATTTCCTATTGGAAATTCAGTGTCAATATCCCAAAGGAGAATGAGAAACACCTTTCACTAGGAGATGCCTTTGACAAGTTTTGCCAGGGACTTCATGGCTACGGTCCGTTTTGGGATCATTTATTAGGGTACTGGAAGGCAAGCTTGGAGAGACCTGATAAGGTCTTGTTTCTGAAATACGAGGACATTAAAAAGAACAATGTCCCTTACATCAAGAAGCTGGCCAACTTTCTGGGGCTTCCTTTTTCCGTGGAGGAAGAGGAGCAAGGTTTGATAGAGGAAACATCCAGGCTATGCAGCGTTGAAAGCATGAAAAACCATGAATCAACCAGGACAGGCACAGGCCCTCTTGGGATCCCAGCTAGTGCCTTCCTCAGGAAAGGAGAGGTGGGAGATTCACTGAATTATCTAACACCCTCAATGGTGAGCCGTGTGGAGAATCTGATTCAAGAGAAGCTCCAAGATTCTGGTCTCAGCTTCTGTCTGTCCAGCGCATTCCAAAATAGTGCTTGACTTGAGTTCAGATATACAGCATTAATGTTATTGCTGTATTGATCTATATTTAATGATTGAAAAAAATAAGAAATCTATGGAGAATAAGTGATGAAAGAATTGAAATGAGATGAGAGAAAGTCAAATCAACGATTTCTTGTTTTATTTAATTTCTTGATATGCATGTGGAAGGAACCAGTGGAGAGAATGGAATTAACTTTCCGTCACTCAAAGAACTTTCATCTGTTTTTGCATGGTTATCAAGCCTAGCCAAATTCATGATTAGATCAATTCAGCATAATTTCTAAAAGAATTAAAAGTGGAAATGACTTCTTTTTTATTTTTCTTAAAAGACAAACATATTCTTATGTGGGTTTTGATTAGATTATGGCTAGCCCTATCAGGTTGACCAAATCAACTCTTCCAACTTATTTTGATATAAAATCTTATTTGGATCAAATCTTGAATTCACAAGTCAATTAATTTATTAGATTAGGTTTATAATTATATATTTTTGTGGTAAGCTATATTTTTACTTAAATTCATAAATTTATAAAATTTATAAAACAATAGTAATAAATGAACCAAATCTTAAAAGAAAACATGGTAATGATAACCAAAAGAAAAGGAATCCTTCTCTATGGGAAAAAAATCACAAAGCTGAATTCCAAGATAACCCTTAAGAAATACAATAAGAAATGACAAAATAAAATGTAATTAACCTGATTTGGCATATTAAACTCGTAACTCTGGTCATTAGGTTTCTCTAGTCTCAAAGAAAACAAATTAAAAACAAATAATGAAAAGAAACCTAAAAAAATAAAATATTTGCAAAACTGGGTAAAGTAGCCAAAAACTCGCGAGCTGGATCATGCAATTGGATTAACCTAATACAAGGCAAAACAAGAAAAATAATGAAGCTTAATTTTAAAAAGAACCTAATTTTGAAGCACAAACTTGAAAAAAGATTAAAAGAAACTCCAAAGTTGGGTTAATTAGCTAAACCTATTGTTCAAATCATGAGATCAAGATAACTTGATTGAAACAAAATGGAAGAAAATCATGAGGTCTAATTTTTTTTTTTTAAATCAATGTTGAAGGATGAAATTGAAAAAAAAAATAAGTGAAAAAGATGATGCCAATCCAAGTTAACTTTTTAAACATGTGATGTAAGTCACTAAACCAGAAGCACTCTATTTGTAAAATTATAAAGCCTAGTTTTTAATAAATAAAATATAGAAGGCTAACATATCTTAATTTAAAAAAGAATCCAGTTTTAAAAAATAAAATTGAAAAATGATTCTAAAGAAATTGTTGGGTTAATCGACTAATCATGAGACCAGATAATGTGATTGAAGGAAAATCAAAGAAGATCATGAAGCCCAAGTTTCAAAATAAATAAGTAAAAAAAATAATGGCATCCTGTGTTTACTTTTCAAACTTGTGGCCTGACTTACTAAATTAGAAGCACCACATTTAAAAAAAAAATTATAAAACCTAATTTTTAATAAATCAAATACTGAAGAATGTGAAAGTTTAATTTTAAAACGAACCCAATTTTTCAAGACAAAATAAAAAAATATATAAAAAAATGATTAGTTTAACCAGCCAAACGTGTTGCTTAGTTTATAAAATCAAAATAACCTAATTGAAAGAAAACCAAAGAAAATCATAAAGCATATTTTTCAAAATAAACAAGATTGAATGATGAAATTGAAAATTAAATACAAATACTCCATATTAACTTTTCAAACTCGTGACCCAAGTCGCTAAACCAGAAACAACAATTAAAAAGCCATAAAATGTAATTCTTAATAAATCAGATGTTAAAAGATGAGATTTTAAAACAAAAAATTATAAAAAATATCCAAAAACAAACAATAGCAATTAATATAGTGAAGATTAGATATGAAATAAAAAAACAAATGAGATGATAATTTTAAATTTTAAATTGAAGGGTAAAATAAAAGAAATTCGATTCACAAAAGAATCTAAAAAGAAATTCAAAATCAAAAGAATAAGGATGAAATTTAAAAAAATAGAAAAAATCATACTTATGAATTCAACGATAAAATTGAAAATAAATTAAAATTTAACAAAAGAGTTAAGAAAAAAAATAAAAAAATAAGATTAAAATTAAAATATCAGTAAAATACTCTGAAATTTTGAATAAAAAACATGAGTTCCAAGGGAAAAAAGAAAAGAAAAGGAAAAGTATTAAAAAAAAAAAAAGGGAGGACATTGGCACTACATCGTCACCTAAACCACCACAAGTATCGCCGTATGTAAAAGAAGCCATGGCGCTTCCAACGTCGTTGCAGAAAGCGATGTTTGGGTGCTAGACGACACCATAAGCTGAAAGGGCACGCCGCACGGACATTCCCTCACGCCACCTTTGTTTTAATTGTATTTATATTTGTTAAACTACTTAAATGCCCCCCGATCATAGCCATTCCATTGTAACCATAAACAATGATATATAGAATAAAGAGATTTTGTTTTCAGGAATAATTTAGCCATTGTAACCAAAATGCTCCTCGATAAGCTAGCAGAGTGACTCTTTTTTATTTTAATTTTATTTATTTTAAGGAAGTGATACACTGATTATATTTAACCGGAGCAAGTCCCTGGCCGCAGATGCTATCTCCGACCGAGCTAAGGGCCTTGTTAATTAATACCTAAAACGGCGTGTTCTTCAAGTTGCGCTACGGAGCCCCCTTAAGATTCAAGAAATAACGGATAGGTCCAGCAGAGGGATCGGGGGGACTTCACGCTGCCATTGGTGTTTTTTTTTTTAATAATAATTACTCATAGCTAGACAGAGAGCTTCCTGCTAGAAAATTGGATAGGACTAATAGCAGCTGGGAAACGAGAGAGAAGATGCAGCTACCTTTTCAGGATCTTGATATGGTAAATAACTTTCATATATTCTTGCATGCGTAGTTCATAATCTATGCTACAACGGGTTAGTCCAAGACGATTCACTTGGTTCATGTGATTAACTCTCAATCTAGTATGATATAAAACTCAATTTGGGTAAGCCCCGAAACAGCAAATTATCGGATTAACTTGCTGGGCTGAGGTTAAATTCTATAACAATTGATTTTTGTGATAAATTATATTTTAGCTTTCATATATAGCTTAAAAAAAGGTTCAAGATTTGATCTCTTATAGATTAGAATAAGTTGTCGATATTAATTTTGGTGAGAGCGCAACTTGGCAAGGGTGATCGTGTTGATAGAGACTGTAATAGTCATGCTACAACTTTTTGTGCTCTTGCCATAATGAGTTTACTTTGAATCAACTCTAAGTGAAGTCAACCCTTGCGCATGGCCGCAGAACCAACTTCCCACCCACGTACGAAGGTTCAAGCCTATTTACAAATCCCGACCATAATACCCTTCAATGATATATATAAGACATGCTGTGATCTCAAGAATCAATAAATTCTACTCCTCATATTTCATTGTTTTCTTGAACAATCTTCTTCCTTGTAAGTGTGATTCTTAGTTCGATGGGGGGTGTGGAAATCACTGTAGAGGAAGAGCAGAGAGATGAATCCCAGGAGTTGCTTCAAGACCTGCCAACAGAAATAGGCATGGGAGGTAATCTTCTCTATCTATACCAAGGATTCTGGTGTCCACAGGTATCAATCAAGGGCATGATGTTGTTTCAAAAACACTTCAAGGCACAAGAAACTGACCTCATACTTGCCAGCATTCCAAAATCAGGTACCACTTGGTTAAAGGCCTTGACTTACACTATAGTTAATCGCTCCCGTCACTCACTTGAAAAGAGCCCTTTGCTCACCAATGGCCCTCATGGGGTCGTGCCCTTTCTTGAGTTCGATATCAGCTCCAGAAACCAGTTTCAGGAACAAGACAAGCTTCCCGAGCCTAGGATTTTCGGAACCCACTCGCCTTACACGGCACTCCCGTGTTCGGTCAAAGATTCCGGTAGTAAGATTGTGTATGTGTGTCGGAATCCTCTGGACATGTTCATTTCCTATTGGAAATTCAGTGTCAATATCCCAAAGGAGAATGAGAAACACCTTTCACTAGGAGATGCCTTTGACAAGTTTTGCCAGGGACTTCATGGCTACGGTCCGTTTTGGGATCATTTATTAGGGTACTGGAAGGCAAGCTTGGAGAGACCTGATAAGGTCTTGTTTCTGAAATACGAGGACATTAAAAAGAACAATGTCCCTTACATCAAGAAGCTGGCCAACTTTCTGGGGCTTCCTTTTTCCGTGGAGGAAGAGGAGCAAGGTTTGATAGAGGAAACATCCAGGCTATGCAGCGTTGAAAGCATGAAAAACCATGAATCAACCAGGACAGGCACAGGCCCTCTTGGGATCCCAGCTAGTGCCTTCCTCAGGAAAGGAGAGGTGGGAGATTCACTGAATTATCTAACACCCTCAATGGTGAGCCGTGTGGAGAATCTGATTCAAGAGAAGCTCCAAGATTCTGGTCTCAGCTTCTGTCTGTCCAGCGCATTCCAAAATAGTGCTTGACTTGAGTTCAGATATACAGCATTAATGTTATTGCTGTATTGATCTATATTTAATGATTGAAAAAAATAAGAAATCTATGGAGAATAAGTGATGAAAGAATTGAAATGAGATGAGAGAAAGTCAAATCAACGATTTCTTGTTTTATTTAATTTCTTGATATGCATGTGGAAGGAACCAGTGGAGAGAATGGAATTAACTTTCCGTCACTCAAAGAACTTTCATCTGTTTTTGCATGGTTATCAAGCCTAGCCAAATTCATGATTAGATCAATTCAGCATAATTTCTAAAAGAATTAAAAGTGGAAATGACTTCTTTTTTATTTTTCTTAAAAGACAAACATATTCTTATGACGGAGAAACGGACTACACACTCTAACCCTAGAAATCAATTCATGGAATTGTTGAATGCTTTCCTTAATTTGGAGTCATGCTGATAATGGTATCTTGGTGAGATGGGTCCACGCCACGAGTAACAACTTGTGTCCACTCATTGTGCTCTACTTTGGTGGCTTTGTAATAAAGGGACTTGGGCTTTTGTTTTTTCGTAGGATTTTTCGTTGATATCGTATTAAATGCCAATGCCCCCAGTTTACCAATGGCGAACCTTTAGCCTAAGCCCGTCTAGATAGAAGAAAAAATTGACCTAGTCTAACTCGACAAAAAAACCTTGAGTTGATATGTGATCTGGGTAAGATTCTATTAAAATCCGTAGATTTTTCAAAAAATAATAATAGTCAAAAGATGCTATTCTAGTCTCTATTATCCACTGCCTTCGAGCTTGATTTTAAACTATGAATGTTAGGAGGTATTACTCAAAATAAATTTAAAATGAAATTGTATACCTTCTTCAATATATATATATATAGAAAATACGAGGAGGAGACTGCTGCCATCTTTTCTATCCTGCTGACTCAGTTCCCGAACGCGACCTTAGTATTAGTCTTGGAAACTGCAAATTCCATGAAGAGGGCATCTGTGTCTTGTGCATTACTAGTTAGTTCGAGAGCTAGTTTTGGATTAATTTTGCGCACAGGCTCTCTCTGTGGCGCCTTCTTGGAGCCTAATTATTACAATATTATGATCCTTAATGTTAATTATCGGTATCAACCAAAACATAGTTACGTCGAAGATTTTTCAAATCTGTGTCGAAGTTTTGGACTTGTTATCTGCTTGAGGGTCTTGTAAGGCCGGTGATGGAGGCTCTAGGTTGGTCAGACTGGAGGCATGTTGCTGGTACTTTCCATGGCTACTTTTTGGTGAAATGGATCCTTGAGTACATGTACTGCTTGCATGCTTGCTTTCAGCTCCTTCTTTCTTCTTCCCTGTCGCCTCCTTCTTCCACCATTGAAGTGTCTCTTGCTTCATAGAACCACCACTGCAACAACTTGAGCCGCTGCTATCATCATCGTTGGTTTTTGAACCACCACCGCTCATGCACACAATATACACGAAACGCTTCTGTTCAATTACAAAACAATATCTATCTATTAGCTCGAAATATTTGTATGCTCGCTGTATATGCCATAATTTCTTTTTTAAAACATAAAACAAAATGTCTAGCTCAATGCAAGTTTTGTGGCATTTTCGTTAAACAAATAAAAGAAAGTGAAAATCATCAGAGAGCCAGCCCAATGTCTAGCCTTGTAATTTAAGGGGTGAACAGACTTGTTGTCCGACACTTATTTTTTTGGCTCTACTTCTCAAAATATCAACATCCCTATCCTTATTTAGTAGAAATCTCACGACGGCGGAGAAGCTCGCACCACACCCTTCAAGATGACAGCCACCATCGCAGCAGCAGCAGCCACCGTCGCAGTCATCGATATCAAGGATATAATTGCTCATTAATTGCCTGTTTTGTAAGAAAATAAAATTATATATATATAAGAAAAGTAGAACTGTAGAAGAAAGGGAAGAGAGACACAAATAAGTATGTGTGTGTGTGTGTATAAATCAACTATTCTATTCCATTTTTTCTCTAATCTAATGGATTATCTTGGATTATTTATAAATGAGACTATTCTATGTTATATATTTGTGATTTTTGAAGTATTTAAATATAAAAATAGAATTAAATAACTTTTAAGAATTTATAATTAGTATCTCTTAATTAATATTTTCATCATTCTTATTTTTATCCTAGCTAGAGGTGAGGAGAGGTTTACATATTATAAGTATTTCTATATGTTATAATATTAGAATTGTATTAAAAAAAAAGAATAAATATGATCTTGGCTATTTTTATTTTATATATTTTTTTGGGGATTCGAAGCACAAATATTTGAAAAAACCAAACAAGTCATACAAATATTTGAGAGAATAAAACTCAAGATTTGAAGCTTACCAGAGCTCAGATCTCTTTGCCCTCTTATCTTCAAGGTTTTGCTAGAGATATGCCAAATTTCCATGGAGGACGACTCCAGCTTTATTTATAACTTAATCATAATTAATAATCTCCATACCAAGAATAATTAGTATTCATTCCCACACTTCAATTATATTAATTATAGAATATTAATTAGTGACACGATTTTCGTGGGGAAAATAATTAATTGAATTTAATGAAAAATAAATATGGATTCCTCATTCATTTGTGGCAAGCCAACCCTTATTGTCAACCCTTATTTTCTATATATATATATATAAAATAGAAAAATAAATTGGCTAGAACAGTAAAAAATCCAAGTTAATATATTAATTTGATCAATCTACAATCTATATATCTGATGAGATATATTTAATATCTGATTTATTTAAAAATTCATGCTCAATTCATTAATTTTTAAAAAAAATCATTTTTTTATTAAAACATTTAACTTTGATTTTTTTTTAAAATAAAAATCAACCACCTAACATTTAATTTTGGTTTTTTCATTAAAATTTAATTTAATTTAAATTAATTTTTTAATATTTTTTAAATTATTTTAATATGTTAATATAAAAATAAATTTTAAAAATTAATATATATATATAACATCTTGTTATATCTATAAAAACAATCGTTACCCGCCGCTTAGTAACGCCCCTTTTCTTCCTTCATTCATTAGAATTATTAACGGTTAACGCCCAGTTTTGCACGCTTCGCTTTAAGACACGGAGGCTGAAAGAGAGATATGAGTGAATTTTTAAGAAGAAGAAACAGATCTTCTTTACTTTTCTCGTTGTTCTTCCTCTCTGTTCCTCTTCCTTTCTTGTCAGGTTTGTTTCTCTCGGATCTCTCCTTCTCCCTCTCCCCTTTCCTTTTTTCTTTCTTCTTTACCATATTTACTCAAATCTTTCATCACCAAACGAAAAATAAATGCTTCTATTTCTCTTAATTGGGCATGATTTATTTGTCCTTTTAAAATAAATGATAACGCTTCATTTTCCCATAGAACCCATTGAAAAGGGGAAAAAATGAAGGCAATGCATGTAACTTTCAGGGAATTCTATCAGGTTTTCAGGGTTTTTTTTTTTTTTTTTTTCATGTTTGCAGGTATAGCCGATGACTCATCTGGGGCAAAAAATGGCACTATGAAGTCTGATAAGCATGCTGCTTCTACAAACAATACTGGGATCCCCAAGATTGCCATCATTTTGTTTTCCATGGTGGCAATAGGGTTTCTCGCTTTTTTCCTTTTCCAGTTTTGGCAAAAGAAGAAAAGAGAAGAGCAGTATGCCCGTCTTTTGAAGTTGTTTGAAGAGGACGATGAGCTTGAAGTTGAACTTGGCCTTCGGGACTGACTCTTTTATTGTACTTAAAGGTGTCTCTATTATTAAAGCTTTATTTTTTGGTTCCCAGTTGGAGAGATTTTCCTGCTTTTTTCCTAGGTTTCGACTGATTGCTTAATGTGTAAAATGTTGCTCAAAGTTCACATCAAAACATTAAGCTATTTAGCTAGCACATGCTTTGAATGATAGTATTTGTCTTGATGCTGGGTGCCCATCAACCTTATGTTCTGACCTTGGTAATGTTGTGCAGGCTTGAAAGAAACTTGTTCGGAGGAAAAGTTGCTCCTCTGTTGCCAAGATTGGGCTGTGGTGATCCCTGTGTAGAGGTTAGATGATCTTCCAATTGAATTGCGTAATATTTGTCACTTTTCGTGAATTTGAATTCTTTGATTACATAGAGAAGATTAGATTCTTCTTTGAATAAGTTCCGAGGGTCTCATTCCCAGTTTGTAAAAATGATTCTTTGTTCTGATGGACATTGAAGTGTGTAAGAATCATGCATTTTGATGCAAAGCATCTTGAATGAATATATTCAATGTTACTAGAAAGGATGAGTGGATGTAACTTCTTCGATTCTAGCTGCTATTTCGAGCTATTTTTTATCCCATAATGGATGTGTGTGCCTGCTGCTCTCTGGCTCTAGACTTATTTAGTTTCTCTTATTAAAAAAAAAATGAAGAAAATGAAGAAATATGCTTCCAATGTTACAGCCTTAGATGCTTGCTGTGAATGAATATCAACTATGCCAGTGCTGTTCATTTACAGGGATATGCTTCTAATGAGCTCGAAACTTCATAGATTCTGAACCTTTTGTGAATGAATTTATTTTTTATTTACTTCCTTTTCATTTTCCATTTCTTCATGATCTTGGAACTTCATGGATTCTGAAAATTCTCAGGTGAGAATGAAAATGCTTGTTGGCTACATGCATTGTCGGTCTGGTAGGGAACTTGTTCTTTGTGGTTGAAATTTCCCCTGTACACATTTTGTGTCTCCCATCAGCTGCTGAGCAAATTTTTATGAATTTACTGGGCAGCATTTGGTTGCTGAATTTTTTTTAAAAATTTCAATCTTCGAAGCTTTTTTCTGCTTTGCATCCAATCCAAGAAAATGACTTGGATATTCTTGGCCTTGTTTGCAACTAGGGAGAGATTGAAAAGGTGGGCATAAATTTTTTAGTAAACTGTATATTTTTCCCTGTAGACTCATCAATTTCCTAATTTTTTTCCTTGTAATTTAAAAATTCTAGTTGTTAGATTAAAATTTTGAAAACACTCCATTGTTTTCCTTGACCATTTTACTTAAGTTTTAAGCAGAGCAAGTCCATCCTTTTTTGAATTGGTTTGATTTTTTGTATATATATTTTTTTGAGGTCTTGTGTATTTTCTTGTTAGATATTATCACATAGTTCAAAAGAATTAAGAGAAGGAATGAAAAAAAAAAAGGAGCTTTTCCTTAGATTTGTTAGAAATTTCATATTTAGGGATTAGAATTCCACATGTTTCACAAAATAATAAATGTGTTTCTCAATCATGAACAAAAAGCTTACTCCATCGTTTACTCTTGAAAGAGAATTTCTCAACACATGAAACCCTCAAGCCTTCCTCCCCCTAAAATTGTGATGCACATGGTTCATTTTCTTAAAAAAAGAAAAAATAATAATAATAAAAAATTGCAAGTTGGTTGCAATCCCAGAGGGGGTGGTGTTGGTTGTGCTTATAGTTGTCAGATTTATTCAAGAACTGACTTCAAAAAAGTATCAAGTTACTTGGTCACAAAGTCAGTTTTCAAGCATGTTATCCACTTTCATTAAAAACTCGAAACTCCACAACTATGCTTATACCAATAGTACATTCCTCCGTCAAACAGCAATGTTAGAAAACCTTGATTTTATGCGTCATCCACATGTACAGACCTTAATTGTCATCCTACATGCAAGAATATCATCAGGTATTGCAGCATCGGGTGAAGAGAGAGGTCATTTTGGAAAAGTAATTCCTTGTAAAATTGCTATCGATGTTAAGTACTCTTCATTTTGCTGAGAATTTAATGACCTGTTAGGATTTAAAAGCTTATTCACCAAGATATAAGGTTGGAAAGGAACAAGCACTTAGTTTGTCTCAGCAAGACGAGACACTGGTAAAATAAATAAATAAAATCCCTCAAGATTGATCATATTCTTTAATCGAAGGAAGAAAAGGGCCCGTGAAATCAATGGATTCCTCTGATAACTCATTCAACAAAGCATAGCCAAAGATTGATAATGATGCCATTGTAAAAGTATAAAGATGCCTGCTTTAACCATCGTCATTCAAGTGGATTCTTGTTGAGAAATTGAAAGCAAATAAAATATAAAAAATTCTATCACTAGAAATTTAAGACCTCACCGTTTCTCTTTCTTGGTTTGTTTCTTTTAAATCATTAGATTATAATCAAGAATATATTATCTATAGATTATTTCCTTAGAATTTCAAAATGAATAGCTCGGGATAAAGGTAAAAAATATAGCAGTGACATAGAACTACAAGCAATTGTTATGCTATAGATGTTACTTGTGCAAAAAGTCTTTTCAAGTAAATTTAAAGTTACATGACTTGAAATAACCTAACTGAATTGTTGATTATTAGTTTATTTAACTAATGAAATAGATAATTCCATGCTCAAATGAATAATACATGAAAAGAATAGAGATTATTTGATATATGCTAGAGCACATTGAACAAAACTAGTGAAAAAAGATAACCTATGGAAGATTCCAAGCAATCGTGCCCAGAAGAGAGGAGCTCGTTTGCTGAAGGTCAAATGCTCAGCCTCCAAAGTTCCTCCCAGCTTTCTGGGTATAATGCATCAAGAAGCCATTAGGGCTCCAATCAATCAGTTGCTGTCATCAAGCAATGAATAAACGGGGTTTATCTTCCTGTCTTGGCTCGTTTCATTCCTGCAGTGTTGAAGGGTGACGTGCTTGGGCTCATGCTCGGGCTCATGCTCGGACTTTCCTCCCTTAGTGTACCATTTAGCAAAGCTAGTTCCCTTAATTGTTGTTTCTTATAGTTATCAAAGGATTCATCCTGCAGAGAGAGTATAACAACAGTAAAATCAGAAAGCTGTGGCGGGGCCAAGAATTTAACAGCAAAATCAATGAGTAATTCGTGTCCCTACCACAGGCTTCAGGAGGCTTTCTAATATTGTTATTGCATGGTCCAAGCGGGCATTCATTATATCCTCTGAAAATTCAGCCTCCACCAACACATGCAGTGGTTCATTAAGATGCTCATATCCAGGTTTATCTTTAAGTTTTTCTTCCTGGACAAAACTCATAGTCAATCATTGGACTTCCTTGTGCAGTCGACAAATCATTTATCAAAGGAAACCATGACTACTACGAAACAAAAGCTTTATCTTTCATGAGAATTGAGAAATATTAACTGAAGTTCCCTTCTGTAACACATCAAACAAATGGTATGCTTCAAGGCCTTCAAAAAGTGACTACATTAAATATTGTGATTCCTAAATACGAGCAGACCAAAGAACACAGATGAATTAAAAAAAATAATAACATATGAAACTGAATCATGGAAGCTCCATCTCGTTTATATTCATATTTCTGATCAGCTCATTTATAGTCAGATTACCATTCCTGGTCATCTGATCAATTCATTTATAGTCAGATTACCACTCCTGGCCATCAACATAAACTACCAACTCTCCTAAATGAGATTTGAAATCCTGAAAACAGATGACACACTTGATCATGCACAAAGCTCAAAGTAGTACTATTAGATATTCTTCAATGGAAACTGGACCTGTATATGGCTTTAACCCAAACAAAACCAAAAGTGGGAACCAGTTCAGCCCATAGGCTCAACCTTCCAGCCTTTGGACCGAGTTAACAGCAGAAACTGAGGTGCCAACAAGATAAACATTGCATTTACATCTTCCTGGTTTGAACAAATTTCAGTACTGAAGTGGTCAATTTACCATACTCGGGCATCAAAAACCAACAATCAACCATCATATCAATTCATCCTAAAGTAAAACACACATGGTCATTGTGGTAGTTAACAGTGCAAAATGGAAGAGAATACGAGTTAGAAACCAAATTAAGTCTCTTCAATATAATTTCAACAATCCATACATAATGAAATGTGAAGGGGGAAAACAAGACAGAACAGCCATGATCGAAATAGAAATGAAGGCTAGGTATTATACCAGGAAAAAAAAAATTGTGTTTTATGACTCCTTCCATGTACACCAACACGAATACCAAAACCGACCACAAACAACATCAATATCCAGTTACAACTAGATGTGTCACATTTCTGTCATGGGAACCATGGCTTGACTTAGTCAAAACTATGACTAAGGAGCAAATACTGATCAAAACTTCCATAAATACGAATATAAATATTCAAAGTGAAAAGGACATCACTATTAAACAAACTTCACAAAGAGCTATTAATTGGATCGCTACAAATTAACATGTCCCTTTCAGAAAAATTCCATTAGGAGAAAAATAGGATAATAAGACACAGCTACCCATCTCAGTAAGAAAACGTGGAAATCAATGTTACTTGAAACACAAACAGAAAACAGAAATTTCAATTTCAAACATGATATAGTGCATGCAAGTAGCAGCTATAGAGTCATTCACCAAGAGTTCACTTCCGATTCTCCGTGAAGTGCAACCCAACTATCTAATTAATGTAAAACATACTTCTTTGTCAATTCAATTGAAAAGGGAAAAAAACCATAGTCAATCATACCTTTAGAGAATCCTTTACAGAGCCCTTGCCTCTTATATACACCCTACATTCTGTCAAGGCTTCAACTCTTTTTAAGGAGTTCCCTCGTGGTCCCAAGATTCGGCCAACAAAATTATACTGCCAAATTTGGGTTAGCTAGAAATTATAATTAATTCCAATCTCCATTACTTCAAGAAACATCTTTGACTTACATTTGGATATTTGTCAACAGGAACATCGAGTCTAATTACTCTCTTCACAACTGGTGTACTTGAAATTCCAGGGACCCCAGGCCAACCCATTGAAGCAGCTGGTAATGAGGCCATTCTTTGAAGATGCCCATTCTCCTGTAGCATGACATGACATGGTTGAAGTATCAATTATTTTGTTTCAGAAATTACAACTGAGATGTCTTAGTTCGCCTGAAGTGAGATAATTTGGGGCATGGGGAGAGGTGAATTGTTTTTCTCAAGTAAACAACAGAAGGGTTTTGTTCAAGATGGGGCATGGAAGTTAATCCAATCCTAAACAACTCCCTCCCCTCAATGAAATACCATGTTTCTTTTCTTCTAACAGATGGTAACACCATAAGTCAAATAAAATTTCATCGGCAGATGCACTTAGACAACCAAAAAGGTCTAGGACATTTTCCAAGTGATCCAGATGTCTGGAAAAAGCAGACAATCATTGAGTTGCTAATGATACTCATTTGCAGAAAAAATATGATGGGGGTTCAGGTTATCATCCTTAGGATGACAATGACATCAGTTTTATAATTTTATACAACACGGGTACCCCCAGTAGAAGTCACCTACTCATACGATGGTACTTCATAGAATTTTTTTGCAAGTTCAAACAATTTATAGTTTCTCAAGGACATATGTCCGAAAGAAACAAT